CCCCCCCCCCCCACCACAACTCCCACCACCGCCCGTCTCCCTCCCCACCGCCTCCCACTCGCCCACCCTAGGGTTCCTAGGCCTTCCTCCCCTCAAGCTACTTTTGAACAAACTGCCATTTGGCTTCTGATTCAAGCACGCCTTAGCCGTGAAAGCGATAACCTGACCCCTCTTACGTTCTGCTTGTGGGGTTAAGTGGACATGATGGATTAGTATAGGCCTGGTTTAACTCCAGTCACAACCGGTATTAGATTCCTTTGATTTCTTCGTTTCTTTCTCACAGTGTTTTGATAATTTATCATGCAATTGTGAATCTCTGTGTTTAGTAATGACATACTAAAATTCAACATGTATTATGCACACTGTCAGTGCATTTCTTTGTGATAGGATCACATTAAAAGGTCTTAATATTTAAGTAGTTATGCAGATTGTGTGTTTATTCTTGCTCGTAAAGGTTGTTTTTTTTTCTCATAAAGGTTGTACTTTTTGGAGGATAGACGCTGAGCTGGACTGCTCATGAGGAGCCTGTTTAAAGTGAGTGTTGCCTGCTCTGATGGACCCTGCGCTGAGCTGTGACGGGTGACGGTGTGGTGCGCATGACTACACCAGCTCTTTTGTCCTTCACACTCTGCGGATCTCTGATAGCTCCTCCCCCTGTGCCCCACTCCTCCCTGCCTTGAGCTGTGATCTGCTGGGGCCTTTTGAGGCTGGGCCACTGAGACATGGCTGCTCCCTGTAATGTCTGGACCAGACCCATCAGAAAAACATGTCAGCAGGAGGAGGAGGAGGAACAGAGAAGGAAACCACTTAATAGTTATTTCCACTAGGTACTCCCCTGGAAAAACTCTAATCAAATCTGAGCATATTTGGACTCCAGTATATCTGATGAATTTTGGTGAACAACAAAAAAAATAAATAGGGATTTTCTTTTCAGCAAAAACAACAGATTGCAACTGACAAACATGGCCACTTAGGGGTTTGAGATGCCCTACTGAAGAAGTAAAAAGGGTGGAAGTAGTTCCATGCTATGGTTGTGTGCCACCTGGCTCTGCGGTAATGCTGGACAGGACATTTCATAAAGATTCATCACTGTCCCTCCGTCCGCTTTGCCCTCATCTCACATCACAGCACAGATTAGACACCGATTATCCTCTAATTGAAGATCCTTGCTTCTCAACCTTGTAAGAATATGTCGCTACTCTTCTGCAAGACGGACCGAAGGTTACTCTGCTCACAAAGAAGAAGCTGCATGATATCCTCCATGCGTTGTAACGAACTCACTCTGAATTAGCCGCAAAGTCAGAATAACACCCCTGCTAAACAGGAAACGGGCTCAAATGTTAATGCGATGTGACCAAACACAAAGTGCTGTGTGTATATAGAGTTATCTAGAGAGGCAGCCTCAGACATGGGGTCACTGCATAGGCACTGTAGCAGACACATCATCCATCACGTCAGCCTGTGATCTGATGACTGAATGTATAGAATGTAATGTAACAGTGGTGTCTGTAACTCCACCACAGCAGTGAGGCACAAAGCCTCGGTGGATGTTTGCCTGACTGCCCTCGCTTGGCAAAGAAGACACAAGGCAACTGACTAGCCGGATGAGGCTCAAACAATGCCATGCATAACATGGAGTTGCTGTAGTATGCAAAAGAATACGCTTCCCTCTGGTGGAATACCTAGACTGGGAGAAAAAGTTGAATAGAAGGATTTACCATTTAAATGAATGGTGACAGGTTGTGCTGCTTTCCCGCGTGTTTTACATGTATATGTACAAATACCTGGGCTGTTTGTATTTTCTGGTCGGTCTCTTGAGAGAGAGCCTGGCACCGGTCCAGTTCAGCCTGGCCGTAGAGGCTGCGTTGTTTGAAGTATTTCACCAAAGCTCTGTGCATCCTCTTCTGCAACAAAGAGAGCTAGGGGGGGAGAAGGCAGAGAAAAGGAATTGGTAAGGCAGGAGAGGAAATTAATGGCAGTGTTCAAGAAGAATGATGGAGGGGAATAGAGAAAGCAGTCAATAGCCCATTCTGCAGTACACGGGCCTGACAGGAATTTCACAGTCTCTTGGTTTCTCTGCCCACTCGTGTGCACTCATCAGAATCCAGTCACATCTGGCTGCCAGGATGGGGGGTTAATTTTCTCTAAATGCTTCAGCAGTTTTGTTCTAGCCGAGGCAAACTCTGTGACTGCAAAGCTGATGAGTAAAATATTTCTACTTCACCCAGTTTAACTTTATACCAATCCCCTCAAGACATATTTTACACATACACACAGAGTCATGAACCCCCCACTGAAACCAGAAATTATTCCTAGTCTCTTGGAAAGACATGCTGCTTGCTTTATTATTTGAACACAGTTTCAAGCAAAGAGGTTTAAATTCTGATAGATGCCATTGCTTTTCTTCCCCCTCCATCTCTCTACTCTTCCTACAAAGCTTATCATTGCTTGGCAATGTGTTCCCCAGTGCATTGAAAACTAAAGCGAATTAGCTCAGTCATCAGCTCCTGAAGGAAAGACAATAACAAGAATGCTCTTTATGGTGTTCCCTGTTAAAAGCCAAGAGCTGAGAGCCTCTACATAAGCAAAGCAGTGCTTACACGTACAAATCGAGAGGATTTCTATAAGAGTATAAGTGCTATCAGATGCTAATTAATCATTAATTTTTTCATTTACAAATGAGAGTTTTGCTTATTTTAATGTATTTACATTTGTTGAATTCTGGTGAACAAATATCGTAATGTTTTGCTAAATTCTCTTTTTTAAAAGAAAAACGTTTATTTATAATTTTTGATAAACCAGCTGACATGTGTCTTGATTGGACAATTAATGAATAGGACACACTTCCTCCACTATGAACATACAAAGCCTTCAAAAACCACAAAACATGCAACACTTGTGTGCTTGAATGAAACTCTTTAGTTGAGTAAAAACATCTGTATCTGAAATACAAGTATTATTGAAGCTGCAATCTGCATTTTTTTCAATTATACATTTTTTATATCTCATGATTGTTGTGTTGCATCTGACGTCGGTGACAATTGTAATAAATATAGAATAAATAACACACTACCATCAGTGGTGGACAAAGAGTTGAGATCCTTTACTTAAGTAAAAGTAGTAAATTATAATCAAAAATAATCCATTACAAGTTAAAGTGCTGCATTGAAATAATTCAGATAAAAGTATTATTGACAAAGGATACTTAAAGTATCAAAAGTAAAAGTACTTTTGCGGAAAATGGCCCTGTGATTATTATATATATTATATTATTGGATTAAATGTAAGCAGCATTTTACTGTGGTGGAGCTAATTTGAACTACGTTATAAAAGGGTAGTTTCACCTTTAACAGTGTAGAAGTACAACTACCTCAGATTTGTACTTAAGTAGAGTACTTCCTTTACTTAGTTTCATTCCATCACTAACAGTCAAGGTACATGGTTGACAACACTTCACTCAAGATAACATAACACGATTGACACTAGATGCTGCACCTATAGCTGTATTTCAAAGTGTCAACCTGTGAAGAGTTAATAATGGCAGCTTTAAGGGTAGAACTATAACCTGCATTTAAAATGTGAATATTAACTATGGGTTGTGCAAAAGCACGCTGCAAGGAAATGCATGTATACTAGTAGAAACCTCACCGTACTTCATGCCAGTTTCTATTTAAGGTGTATATATGCTGTATCTTAAATGAATAGTACGGGTGGTTTTAAACTTGTCATTTGAACTATATGTCAGGAATGCCTGGTGTCAGGATTATATTTCAAGGATACTTAAGAGAGACTCATTGTGTCCCTCACTTGAATATAATGGAAGAGATTATGGGCTCTACAAATACACAAATGTGAGGCTTCTCATGTACACACACACACACACGCACACACACTAATGCTCTGATCTCTCAAATGATCCTGACAATGTTAAATGCATTTACCTTGTTGCCTCCAGTGACAAACAAATGGTAATCACATTGTGTAATATATGTACTAACTGGGACATAAAATTCAAACATTAAAAGGATAATTGTAAATTTGAAAGAGGGCTGCTTGAATGTTGCTGTATAAATCAGATTGAATGTGATCTACATTTCGGAAACATTGTTGATTATAAGCTTGTTATAAAAAACTAAATTCAGGCAGAAAACACTAGCCGAGAGGCTGTCGTTACACAAGTGTGGAGTTGAAACAAACAAAAATGGTGAAGGCTGAATCCGGAGTAAAAGAAAATCAGGCTTTGATCACGAGCGTGGAAAATCCTGTCCACAGGATTTTATTTTTGCATGCATTTTTCACTTGATAACATTCATGCAGTTAGATGAGGAATTGCTCAAGTGGAGGTATTAGTCATTTTTGGAACAAATATACATTTTTCATTGCAGGAGCAGTGTGGCTTCTTCCTGGTGTTATGCTTGTCATGTGTAATTCTACTCCGGTTAAATAGTGTCAGAAACTATATAGATTAAACAGTAAAATGCTGCCGAGTTGTCTCCCTCAACTAGTCAAGACCTCTCGTGCTATTTTAGCACTGAAGGCACATTCATTGTCTGATCCTAACCTGTGCTGCTGATCCCTAACCGATGGTGTGTGTGTGACTGTGGTGAGCAAAGGCACATTTGTAGTAATAAACCGTTTCACCTCTGGCCGCTTTAGAAAAACTATAATCAAGAAAATGTGGAAAGGTGTAATATTTACATGTACCATCAACCTCTCTCTTTACTCCCCTTGGTGGCAAAACTACATAGCTATCATTACATTATGTCACATCCATCATCCTCCTCCACTCAAGTTATCTCATCATTATTAGATTGCTGCACTGGGTGCCAAACTAAAACCCTCTGAGATATACTGGCCATGCAAAGAAGAGCTATCTGGTGCAAAGGAGAATAGCAGCGAACACAAGACAGCAGGGCCAGAAGAGAGGGGTGACAGTGAACATAACAAAAAAAGATATATAAACCGTACCTGTGTGTGAAAATGAAAAGATTTATGTGCGCGGTTTTTCTCGCTCAGTGCAGACACTGCCTTTTGTTTGGCCTCCATGAGGATCTTCTTAAGACCTTCGTACTCAGTTGCCAGCCGTTTGTTCTCCTTCAGTGCAAATTTTAGTGCTACCTACACAAACACATGAAAACAATAAGTTCAGGTAAGATGGTAAAGGTAAATAATGTGTTTATAGTTATAGTTAAGTTTATTAGCACAAAGGGACGTGACAAGAAAAAAGCAACAACAGTACATAAGAACAAAGGAAAGAAACCCTTAGGGCCCATAATAAAAGCTCCCCACTAGGTTTTACAGTGTATTTAATACTGTTTGTTACCTTAACGTAGAGAGAAATAAAAGAGAGACAAAAGAACATGTTAGTAGTAGTAGGAATAATAGTAACAAGCATTAACACATAACACACATACTAAGCACAATATCTATGGCACAGATATCTATTTTTATATTAAACTTAAATACTGGTGGCTATTATGAATAACCACCAAGACACAAGCAGGCACTGTGACATACATACTCTTCATTATCACTGCTGATGCACTGATAGAATTTTTTGTCTCAAAATCCTGATTCTGATCAATTCAAAGGATCTGTCAATAGCTACTAATCCAATGCCAATGTACGATCACTGCGGTGCTAAAAAAGTTGAGCTGGTGTCCCTCTGAGACTAAATTAATGTAACTGACGTCGGAAACTCTGGATTTTATAATGACATTGGAAAAGAAACCATATTTAATACAACACCAGATCCGATTAATAAGGTCACAATCGGCCCTCAAAACCGATCTGGTGTGTCTGATTCATGCATCCCGAACTGTCACCAATATACTAAAAAAAAGTAACAAGGATTGAATACAGGAGCCTCTCACACTTAAATAGAAATTTGGCAATGAGAGCAATCTGAATTAACAAATGGATTTGTGTTAGTGATCATTTTACCAATATGTTTGTAGTAGAACACAGCTACACTGGCAGAAGAACAACTGCTGAGGCAACATTATGTTCAGTAGAGATGTAAAATACATAATGAATGAACACATAGATCAATGTTTTCATGGCATGTACAGACACCAAAGACACGATGGTCAATATACAGCACTGAGCATACTGTACAGCAACACACACTGACCTTTAAGAAGATACTTTAGCTGTAAGATGTGTGTGTGTAAAATACAATACACACCTTTTTAATATTTGTGCTGTTAATTAAGGCAATATAAGTAGCAGGGATACAACAATGGATGCTTTTCTGGGAAATCAAGCAAATAAATCACAGTGAGTTTGTGTCTCTCTGCATGTCCTCTTTTCCTTTGAACAATGTATGTGGCTGGTGAATACCTCAAGTCTACCTGCAGACATAATGAAGTGTGTCTCTGCAGTAAAACAGAACAGCACTAAAGTGATGAGTTTAACCCAGCAGAAAGAGGGGCTGTAAACATGACAAATGCCTGCTATTGATTTCAGGTTTAATTACTCCATGCAGCACTGACAAAGCCCATCTGATGCTGTTGTGAAGTGTAAATGGAACAAATTACACTTCATTGCCCATAAGAAACTGGTAGCGTCGGCAGTTTGCATTGTTTACTTTGTGCTCGCCAAACGACGAGCCCTGGTCAAATCAAGACACAGGTGCGTGTATGGAAGACGCAACACTTTCAGATACTGCATGGGGTGAATAGAGACGACCAGAGATTCCAACAAGTCGACCTATTTCCCCTTGATATACCCTGTATGCGTAGCTTAGGAATAACTACCTTGTATTTAATATAGCCACATACTATCTCCCATCGTGATATTAGGTTTACTGACCTGTATTCTATGGGAAAGAGGAGCTGTGACCTACAGCAGCTTATGAGAGTATAGTACGAGGTCAGCAGTTTCAGAAGAAATCTCTTCTGTAAGAAATATCTAAAAGAGTCTAACCATTCTGCTTCATGCACTGTGGTTTCTGAATGCACACTCTGCTTATTATGTTATGCTAATGCAGACATTATGTGTGCTTTATATTGGTCTCAATGATTAAAGTGACCAATTTCCTTTGCTCTTCAGGCTCTGATCTTTGTATTTGGTGAGGAGTATTGTTGTTCATCTTATTTCGTCAAGTGAAGAGACTAAACCCTTTTTTTTGCATGGCTAACTTTTATCTGGCTAATGGGAGTTGTGTCTATGAGGAAGACTTCTAATTCTTAAATTGTCTCACGCCAACAACTTCTTTAAAGTTGCTGCACTTGGATGCATGGCGGCTTAAGCTCCATTGCCTTTTCTTGTTTTGAACTAATGCATTCTTGATCACCGTTTAATGAAACTATATACCACATGGCGATTTCACATTAGATAAGCCATGTGAAACCCCCATCAGCAAAGAGGCTCTGGCTGGGGCTGATAATCCTGCAGATGAAAACCTTACAATAAATAGAGGTTTCGCTTACAAAGGAGTGTTCAAACACAAAGCCATTCTGTGCAGAGTGTACCTACGTTCTTACAAGAGCCTATTTCTGCCACTGCTATATCAAAAAAAAACAGATCATATGCTTATTTGATATTGTGAACAATATGCGTGCATTGCAATTGCGATGGAAAATGTTGGCCTACAGGTAACAAAATAGGAGCAGCATCTCACCACGACACGCATCATCAAATTTGTCCAGACAAAAGACTATAACAACAGTGAGTTGTCATTTGTGGGAAAAGCACTTAAACAAGATTGACCATGGCTTGTAATTTTAATTGCACACAGCTCTTTTCTCTGCATCTTAAGGGAAGTATTGTGACAAGCAATGTGCTGACACTAATCCACAAACAAATAAACAATGAGATGTTTTTTTTCTGCAGCTTGTCTCACAGTATTTGACACAAAACAGAGTCGTGTATTCGCGGAAAGTAATACTGAACAACATTTTGTTACCTTGTTGTCTTCCATTTCCTTCTTTCTTGCTGTAACACGAGCGGTGTGTGTCTGCATGGATCGCTGTGTTCGTTGTTGGCAGTTATTAATATCAGACTGCAAGGTGCTCATTACGAGTGCAGCTGACTTGTTTTTGAATTCCACCACATCAAAAACCCTTCTGGAAGGTGAAATCAAACACAAAAGAAGACTATTATTATTCTAAAATTTTGAATATCATGCACATATGATCAGTGGGGGAGCCTGTAGATTTATACTCAAAGCCAGGCATTTAATTAAGAAATACTTAAAGTAATATATCATCACATATACTAAACATTTTTAGAGAAGAGGTTGATTATGAATGCCTTGTCTTTCAAAAATGCTGATATTGAAGAAAGGTTGAGTATTCCCCAACAATAATATCCCATTTTTATTATAGGCGAGGCAGCTTTGTTCGTGTAGCACATTTCATATGCTGGGGACAGTCAAAGTGCTTTACAGAACAATAAACATACAGTAAAGATAAAAGATTAACAATGAAAAGTACAGACAAGATGTACAAAAGATAAGGACAAAACCTCACCATCCAGTTAGAATGAAGGCTATTTAAAAGCTAAGCTAAAAAAACATTTGAGTAGGAAGTGTTATAAAGAAAAGCTTTTAGCTTTGACGTTAACTCTTGAGACAGCCAGTAGGCCAGGCCCAGATGTCCCAATTAGGAACTATTATTTTGAGTGTTTGCGATGTGTGACTAACTTACTCAAGTTCTGCTATGACTTCTGACATGATTTCGACTCTTTTTTCCATTTTGTCTGAAGCATCCCGGTATTCTCCGCTCTTCTTCGTGAGGTCACTGATCCTGCCCAGGGTGTCGTCATATCTCTTGAACACGGCAGCGTTTAAATCCTGTAAACAAATAGTTGCATTTATGCTGAAACCGTGTTTTCTTCAAAGTGTTTGGAGAGACAGACAGAGAGAGAGAGAGAGAGAGAGAGAGAGAGAGAGAGAGAGAGAGATTATTTTGTTCAACAAAAGAATGACATGATAAATAGCTGGGACTAGCTTTGTGCTCAATGAGCTTTACAGAGTAAACCTGACTTGGCGACTGTTCTCTGACTCAGGAGGAATTCTTTATGCCACCGTTTACTTTTCTTTTCTTACCTGAGCAGCTTTCAGGTGGTCACATTGGAGTTCTTTCTCCTTCTCAAGGTTGACTACTGTGTTCCTGTGTTCACTCTGAATCTTTTTCAAATGTTCTGTCAATTTCTTGATTTTCTATACAAACAAAAGATTAGTCACAAATGCAGATGATTTATACTTTTTTGGTACATTCTTTGATAAATTGTTGCTTTTTTATTAATGTACAATTATCCTCAGACTGAGACTATAATTATTAAGCTGTATTATTACCACAACGTGTGTCTCCAGTTCTTTTGTTGCTGTGGATGCATCTTCAAATTCTTTCTGAAGTTCTTGTTTAGTCAGCTCTGAGCTCCTTTGCTGTCGATACATTTCTTCTTTTGTATTTGCACACTGACCCTGATGCGATAGAAAACACAATGCAGAATGTCATTATCCGAGAGGCTTCAAACATTTACAGGAGGTAAAAGCAGTAACAGGAAATGTAAAGGGTGTGGGAATGTATAAAATGATGCAATAGAATACAGCCAGGTATTTAAAACTATCTTTATGGAACGTAAAATGTTCCATTTTATTGAGGCTGTGCTTTGTGAAGCTTCACCTCTTCATATCTTTCATCATATACAATCAAAGTGTTCCACGGAAAAATGAAAAAGTCGGCAAAAATACAAGGATATATTTTGAAGATTTCAATTTAAATCTCCTTTGTTTGTGTCATAATGTTGTGATTGCATTTTTCTTCTCCGAAGCGCCTCCTGAATTTACCTTCAGCAGTTCCAGGGCGGTCATCTGACCTGTCAGAACTTTCCTCAGGCTTTCAATCTCATCCTGTAGAGCATAGAGAGAGACCCAAATAACACAGAAGAAGACATTTGCTATCTCACATTTCCCTACAAACAGTGACCCGTGCAGTATACATAGAACATGTACATATGTTGTCACTGACCCCGGCCCTCTGTTCTTCCTTGGAGGTGAGCTGCTCCTGCTCTTCCAGTTTAGTCTGGGTGACACTGTGCTGAGCTACAACCCGGGTCACTTCCTCCTTGGCCTTTTCCCACTCCTCGTCATTGTCAATGATTTTCTGGAGCATCTGCTTCCTCTCCTCATGCATCTGCTTCACTGCCTCCTCGCTAACAAAAATCACACAGAAAAGTAATGGTAAGCTCACATAAATTGCTGAACACTGTATTTATAGTAATACCAAATAGGTGATGTTACATGTTCCTGCTTTGTTTTGGCTTTGATATTGTACCTCTCTGAAGTTTTCATCTTGTAGTCTTCCACATTCTGTTCATGCTCCATGTTTTCTGTACGAAGAGCTGCAAAAGCATTACGTTTTGAAAGGAGCTGCTCTTCTATGCAGGAAACCTCTGCTTCCCCGTGACGTCTCTGCGGATAACATAACATACAGTGTGCCACTGAGTGGATGCACGTATCCAAAACACCTCACAGAGTCATGATTTCAAACATTATTAGCATGCATAGCTCCAGTGAGAGCCCAATCGTAGTCTGGCAGTTATGTGCCCGCGCTCTACCCAGTGAACTATCAAGACACACATAAGTAGACAAAGCAGCACCGATGTTATGAAGAAATGTTTTTTTTTTACATGATTTAAACACTTTTGTGACAACACTTACGGTTTTCTCAATGTTTTCTTGCAGCGCAATCACTTTCTCTTTTAATTTCTTATTCTTTCGCATTTCATCCTCAATTTGAAGTTTCATTGGCAGAATCTGTAATAAAAGGAGACAAACATGAACTGGACTACTTTTGTAAACGGTTGAAAGCTTCCTTTTTTAGAAACTTGACACATTCAAATCTAGACAATATCCTTTACACGGTCTTCTTCAGTTTTCTCGAGCTCCATCATTTCAGAGAAACGTTGTGTTGTGGCTGCACACTTTTCTTCTGCAAGTGCAATCGTCTTTTCGGCATTCTTTATTACTGCCTGTAGACCTTCCTTGAGCATCTTCAACTGGTTTGAATCTCCCCTGGAGAGGAAACACAGTTTTGTCTTAAAGTTGGTGGATTAAAGGCAGTTTTTGAAATCCAGAGTTCACTTAGGGTTGGGAATCACACAATGTTATATATAATACATTTATAATACAAGTTAAGCGATGGTATCACAACACAAGCGGCTCATGATACTCGCTATATTGCGAAAGAATCATCTACAAACCAGCATGATAACTGGGTGATCACCTCAACAATAAGCTGAACAGGACAGACAAAACAAATGCGCTTTACAAAAAAGGGACGGACTAGAATCTATTGTATATGCTGAGGAGACCCGGGTCATTTGGGGTGCAAGGAGCACTCCTGAAGACCTTTTATTTTTTGTTTCGACTCTATGGTGGCATCAGCCATCTTCTATGGAGTGGTCTGCTGGGGAAGCAGCATCTCGACCGCTGATTGGAAGAGACTTTACAAACTGGTTAAGGGGGCCAGCTCGGTCCTGGGATCCCCCCTTGATCCAGTGGAAGTAGTGGAGAAAGGAGAATGATGGCTAAACTATCATTTTCTGATAGAGAACATGTCCCACCCCATGCAGGACACTCTTACAGCACTAGGCAGCTCCTTCAGTGACAGACTGCTTCAGCTGCTGCATGAGAAGGAGAGATACCGCAGCTCCTTCCTCCCAGCTGCTGTCAGACTGCTCAATCAACACTGCTCCCAATAGAGTGCACATACCAAAAACTGGCAAATTATTCATTCATGTGCAATATCAATATCTAGGTATACCACTGTACAATATCAATATTCTGTGCAGTTTCAACATTTTATGTTTCCTTTTTCGTATGTGCAATAATGTGAACTCAACCATTCAGTCCGTCTGTGATTATATATATTTTAGATTTTCTTTTACTCTTTACTTATTTATTATATCTTTACTGTTTGATTACTTATTTATCACACTCGTTTTAGCTTCTACTGATGCATCTTGTTGTTGCACTCTCCTTTTTACTCATGTCAAACTGCAGACGTTCCCGCTGTGGGACGAGTAAAGAATTATCTTATTTTATCTTAACTAAATAGGAAAATACACCCTTAATTAAGGTATTGTTAAGGAATCAAACCTGTATTGATTTTTTTCCCTTCAGAGAGTTTAAATGATCCATGACCTGGTTTTGACTTAGTCAGCATCAAAGAAGAAATATAAAAAAGCCATTCATTTTGTATATCAAAATTTGTATATTGAAATCGTTTGTTAAATGAACGGTTCGGTCCGTTACAGCGAGGCTCGTCATCTGGTAATGCAGCATCAAGCAGGAGTATTGTTGCTATGGATACGTGCAGTTTAATATACGTTGCACACTGATTTATAGCAGCGGTTGACCGTGTCTTTGTTTGAGGGGTCCTTTATATGATTTCAGCAGACTCCTGACAGCCACACTGTTCTCAGTGGCACAATCCCACATACAGAAATGCTTTAAGTAGCAATTACAAATGAAATGTTTAAGGACTGCGTGGTTATCAAAAAGTATGCAAAAGGGATAAATACATTTGGCTTCAGTTGTTTTCTGTACTTTGTACTTTGTTAGAGTGCATAAAACCTTCAAGACATCACAGAATAAAAGCATTTGGAAATAACAAATCCACAAGAATAAAAGTCATAGCAGATAAAAAAGAAGCCACATAACAGATGGACAGAGGCCACCACCTTAAAATAGAAGTCAGATACTTGGTGTATATACTTTGTATACTCTCATTATGCATTAAAACAGTTTTATGACAGAGGTCTCCTGTCTCAGCTGTACTACTTTGATGGTCTGTTTTCGCTGCTGTTAGATACTCACAATTTGTCACCCAGCTGATTCTTTGTCACCAACAGTAAAGAATCCAGTGATGTCTTTTCCTTCTTGGTGTCCAGCTCCATCTTTCTTTTCTCCTTCTCAACCAGTAGGAGATCCATTTGTGTTTTTGAGTATACTTCATCAGCCTGAAGAAAAGAAGGGGGGGCGAGATCATGGTACTTATCTTCACAACAATTTCATAAAGGTTATGATATTAAAGACAATATATCAATATATATGAATCCCAAACTGCACCTATAAGCCAACAGTGAGTTGTTGTTGTTTTTTACATTTCTTTGCTTAGCTTTGGCACATATTTGAAAATCCAGAAGCCTATCTATTAACCCGAATCAATTAAAGGTAAACACTTGAATATCAAAGCCAAAGGGTTACAGCCAATGACTTGATAAACACACACATGTAATTTGTACTAATTGAGTCAGTCTGGTGTTTCATTCAGCAACCATAAAGATGCAGAGGTTTCATATCAAAGTTGACCCCTCTGTATCTTTTCCCCATCACCCTCCTCTCTATTGACACTTTTATGGCATATTTGTAAGAAGGCATGCAACTCAAAGTACAGTGGAGCTGAATGCGGTCATTGGATTTTGATGCATCCTGACTCGAAGGACAAAAGCTAAATGAAAAGTCAGAGAATTATTTAAGTTATTAGGATGCATGCTCTGGGGACCATGAATGCCTGTACCAAATTTCATGGCAATCCAGTCATTTGTTAAAATGGAATGATTTTACTCGACCAATGTGTTGGATAAAGACTGGACCAATAGAGCAACGAACATTGCAATCCCTCGTGCCATGCCACTTGTGGATTTAAAATAGATTTAAAAAAGAGCGAGTGGGTGAGTGAGTGAGAAAGAGCTAGTGTGTGAGGAAGAAGCAAATCTGAAAATTGACCTTATTTGGTGTTATTTCTCTGTGGTTACATACATAAGAATGAAATGAATTAGAGTTTACCTCAGCTTGTGCGTTGTTGATTTGATTTATAATTCCTCTCTGTCGCTCCAGGTTTTCTTTTACGATGGGAATTTGTTTTTTGGCAAAGTTGATGTCGTCGTGTAAACTCTGGTTCCACACCTCAGTGTGTGACAGTTTCTCCTGAGCATGGTCAAGTTTCTCTCTCTCCAGGTTTAGCTGCCACTTCAGTTCAGTGATTTCTCTAATGCATGCCTCGTGCTCTGGAGAAAAAGCAATAGTGAAAAATGAATTCAAACATGTATTCATTGTTTTGAAGAACAACAGCATCATCATGATATTTTCATTAGGAAATGATACCAACGTCTTAGTCACAGACCTTTTTGGACTAAAAAAGAGTGCTCTTGTTGCTTCCAAAGTGAAATACTGTTGACTTGGTTCTCCAAGAATCTTTTTCTTCTCTTCTCTTTGTGGAGAGCTTCCTCTGCATACTGCCGATCAGCCTCCAGCCGTTCAATCAGATACACAACCTCTCCCAGGACATCATTTATTTTCTTCAATAGTGGCGACAAAGGACAACTTTCTAGAGGATTACAAACTTTAAAGGATTGGTGCATTGTATTGGACCGTGTAGCACTTTCAACTCAATAACAAAAGCAATAGCAAGTAAACTAGTATTTGCAAAGCTTTGTTGACATAATCTGACCAACTGCAAAGCGCACATGAACATAAACCCTAAAAATCTATGGTATTCTATTAGCAGAAGTGGATACTGGATGGTTTCTTTTTAATTATCATGTAGACAAAAGATGTGAACCAGTAACTGGGACTGGTAGGAATTACTGTCACACTGACTAGCCACAACTGCAAGAAACTGAACCGAGAGCTTCTACAAGGAAGTGCCCACTACACACGTATGTGTTGCTCCTTTATCTACATTGGCTTTTGGGATAGTGCGATAGTGCTTTTCTATTGCTTGACAAAAACTAAGAAAAAACATTTTCGAAATGATAGAAAAAGGGGATCACCTCTGGCACTAATTGCGATGCCTTCGACGAACAATTCCGTAGATGTCACCAACTCAGTATCCGAGTCTCTGGACTGAAATCTGTTAAAAAAAGGAGTTTAACTCATGTTGTGTTTTTACATCCTACTGAATATAACAAAAGTAAATAGTAACAAATAAAAACGTGAGAGGACTTCACCTTAAAGTTTTGCTGTATTGATGCTTGTCCTGATTGATCTTTGGCGGATATTTTCCAGACTGGTACAAGACAAAAAGAAAAGAAATGCTTTTAAATAAGACTTTTACTCCTATCGGATATTTGTTTACAATCTCTCACGCGTCACATCTGACATCAGTTTACCTGTTGACACCAATTTTCCACCGTCATCTTCAGCTCTTGGATATGGTAAACGGCATTGTTGACACATGGCAAGGGACTGTTAAGCAAAGCACATGTGCGACGTCTACCAGAGCAGACGGCTTGAAGATCTGCTTGATCTTGAGAAACAAACAAAATATTAAGATCTGTTAATGCAACTTTGGTTTATCACATACAAACAGTTGTTTTCAGAGAAGCAATTGAAAGCCAACCCTACCTACAGATGTCTTTTACATAATTACACAAAGCCACAAATATTAAAACAACAGACCTTAGTTGGAACATTCACCCTACTTCAATAACTTTACTTTGAGAAACTTAAATTTGGGAAAATTCTGGTTGCATAAAGCATCAGTGACAGAGCAGAGACGACTAATACCAACATCTCAAGACAAACCCAAGGGCACAATTCTTAGTGGTGAAAGGACGCCATCTGGCTGACATGATGGGTAAAAAACAGTGCAGATCAACATCTGAGAAATTCTGACTTAGTCTTTTGTCTGTATTATCGTACAAAGACATGTGATGCTCATTCGCAACTAAAAGTAACTGCTGGGCAAAATCAAAATAGTGAAGATAATTTAACACCAAGTTGATGTCGGTGGCAAAACGTTACCTCCTGTACTCTATATTATTTCGATATACATGTATTTTCTTACAGTAGTAAGTAGTAATAAAGACAGGAAACAAGCACAAATATATAGACTATTTAGAAAAGCATGTTTTTAAAATAAGAGGGGAAACAATAATATAACTCACATTAGTTCTGTACAATTGACAAAACTGTACAGAGATGTATATTATATTGTGAATTCTCAATTCTTATCCATGATCGTATCAATCTCATACTGTAAGCTGCAGTGTAAGATAGCAGGTTAGGTGGAAGTAATGCTTTTATTCACTGCAAGGCCACAAGATAGAGGGGAAGAGAGATGTTCATAATAAGAAAGACATTTCAAATTGAATTAATTTAGCCAATTTTCCAGTAATTTATTTTGAGGGCCAACTTTTGTGTGTGTGTGTGTGTGTGTGTGTGTGTGTGTGTGTGTGCTGAACTTAATAGGGTGAGGAGTACCAGCCTTGGAGAAAGGGGTCCGCCCACAGATTCATGCTGAACCTGAGTGTGCGCCACCCAAAGGAGGACCAAACGTAGGCAACACACCCACAAGAGCATCATCGATTGTCACAAGCGGTGGTGAAACATGCACCACCAGGCCATCATACACCCGCCTGGCCAAAAGGGATGTCTGGTGTTGCCTGGCAGTTGTCTAAAAGGACAGCATCACATTTGGGGTAGTTGATCGGCCCCTTTAAAACAGTCAGACGGGTAAATGACCACCTAGCAGATACAACCAAAACTGTCAAGAACCTAAAGACAAACTACTCGTACTCAAATCAGTATGAAATAGGTCACAATCTGTGTGTGAGACTACTGAACCTTTCCTGCTTGAGATAACAGATATCTTGCAACGGTGATCCGTTAATTGAACAATGGCTAGAAGTGAGCTGACTCAGACTCAGTCGAGGAAAAACTGTGGGGAGACCTGAAATAAAGGCCATCTGTTGCTGAGCAGTTTAGATGAATAATACACAGAGAAAGAAGCGAGTGGGGTAGGAAGGTGGTGAGGCGATATGTCACCAGCGGGGCGAATAAGCTGTAAATCATATTGGCAGGGAGTATCATATTGTATTATATATAGAGAATATTATAGCCACAGAGCAGGCCCAAGTGAGTCTGATGGCCAATAGTCTCACCTGCAATTTCACTAATGATATTAGATATTTAATGGTAATTATCATAAAACTGTATTCGCCTCCTTGATATGATTTCTGAGTCAGTCCAGTCTACAGGATGAACTTTGTGTGGGCAGCTTTCTTACTGTAATCCAAATGAACTTCATATTCATAGACAGCTCAATAAATACTACGTTAAAGTTGTGTGTGTTAACCGAAAACCTAATGTCAAAATGAATAATGTACACGGTGACTCCTGACCACACTGGTTAGCTTCTGTCCTCCATATTTGTTTGTATTTATTTCCCTATAGAGAGTATCTCCATCTGTTGTAACAGAGCATCTCCATCAGATTTCATGTTTGCTATCTTGTGGGCCTTGCAGTGAAAAAACAACATTACCTCCACCTAACCTGCTATCTCACACTGCAGCTTTCAGTATGAGATTGATACGATCGTGGATAAGAATTGAGAATTCACAATATAATATACATCTCTGTACAGTTTTGTCAATTAATGTGAGTTATATTCCTATTATTATTATCCATATGTATTTGTGTTTGTTTCCTGTCTTTATATCTACTTACTACTGTAAGTAATTATATGTATATCGAAATACAGGAGGTAACTTTTTGCCACTGACATCAACTTGGTCTTAAATTATCTTCACTATTTTGATTTTGCCCAGCAGTTACTTTTAGTTGTGAATGAGCATCACATGTCTTTGCACGATAATATAATGAAATCTAAATTCCACCACAGCAATCCTGGCCAAAGGTAAACAAAGAAAAAAGGTAGTGAGAGTAGCAACAGGCACCTTATGGTACATACTCAGCTCAGACATCACCTGACACACCTGTGTGTATGTTTGCTGTTTGGACTTTTAAAAACTCTTAGTAACAAATACGATTAGTGTGTAACGTCACAGCTGATCTATTTCACAAACAAAGAACATTTAATTACTAAAGTATAACTAATTATTCTCACCTTGTTGACTTGGTCGTCCTTCCCTTGATGGGAATCTGAGTGGCTCAACGTCTGGCATCGCTCAAAGTCTTCTGATGGGGTTTATGAAAACACAAACAGTTTAATGCCGTCCTTCACTCATCTCGCTCTCTAAACTGAGGTTAAGTTGACGGTTAATTAACTGAGCTAATTACATATTAATGAGCACTTGGTGGTCGTTGTCATGGCACAGAAAGTGAGAGTCAACTATCAACTTACGTGTGTATTAATACACCTTTGAATATATACCTTCTGTTCGCTATCTAGAAGAGTGTTGTTCTTCTGCATGACAACGCTGCAGCTGACCTGTAAAAAAAGAAGAAGAAAAAACCTGCCTTTCAATAAAGTTTCCTTGGTTGCTGCCAACCAAGTTGCAGTCAATCTTCTACTAGGGTTGCTTAGTAACAAGGGGCTGGATCTTGGAGAGGGCGAGTTGTGTTCAAGAGCAGCAGTGAAGGTTTGTGCTTTTAGGAGTCTTTGCTATGCTTCATGTGACGTTATAGGCACATTTTTATTGAAGAATAGAGAATAAGAATTTATTTTATTTTCATTTAGATCATTGTTGGCAATGACAGTAATGTCCTCTATCATGTATATAACTGTATGCATTTTTTATCCTCATTGTAATAGGCTTAAAATTCAAACTTAAAATCCAAAAAATATCTTTTATTTTGATTGTCTTGGACATTTTTTTGTGTGTTACAAGTCAGATCCAGGCTTAAGCAGCCGTTCATATTAGGATGCAACAGCACTACTACTAAAAAATGTATTAATCTGTACGTTACTTGAGTAGAAGAGAAAATTTGGGCAAGTAAGACACCAAAATAGCTCATATAACCCACGATGGATACATTTTCCCTTTTGTATTTGTGGTTGCAAAACCTCTCCAGATTAAGATTTTTTTTTTCATTTACTATTAGTAATGTGTTGGGGGTCATACCTCAAAAAATATTTAGGGATGTATTCAATGACTTTCAATTTAAATTGTTCAACCACAGGAGGAAATGAAAAGAAATGAGCGAGTCTGTATCTATCTTCTATAAAAAAAAAAAGTATGTGTTCTAATGTAATGTCATATTTTTTAATGAACATTGTTTTCATTCACAAATAGTTATTGAAAACCACTTATCTCGATGACGTCATCTTCCCGAAACAAAAGAAAACGCTTAAAACCTGCGAATGCACGCATGTCTTTCCACGTCCAACTGCGTGCAAACACATAAGTAAACCAGCTTAACTTTCTCTGTTTACCACATTTGTCTTTTGTATCAAACTTTAACATTTGCAGCCGAAGCACACTGACGCAAGTGGAGAGATTCCGCATTACGTCATCGCCAGGTCCACACACTGGAGGCAATGCTGCCTCTATTCTCCTCAGCCAGTAGGCTACGCTACCCGAAAATTTCCACACTTTTTTGCAGGAGAGAGCGGCACAGGATCGGCCGCTTCGTGCAGCGATGCAGCACCCGACACCAAAGAAACGCTGATCGCACCGCCGGGACACGACCAACCGGCCGGCCGTCTGTCTGTCGGATTCCTGGATGGAAAAAAACCGGTGATGTTGCACGACATGCCTCGAAATAAATTGTGGTAAGTCTAAAAAGTGCGCTGCTGCAGCTGCTGGAGGAGCGACCTTAACCTACTTTGTCACTCTGGGGTGAAATGAGTTTCCCCCGATCAAGTTTCAGCGATAAAAAAGCATCGAGAATAAAAACAAAAAAACATTAGAAAGTGTCGTGTAGTCGTTTGTGCGGGAGGATGTTTCTGCAACAATGAGAGCTTTGTGTCGCGTATACACACAGGTGTCTCAGGCGTGACAGGTGATGTCTGAGCTGAGTATGTACCATAAGGTGCCTGTTGCCATTATCACTACCATTTGTTTACCTTTGCTGTGGTGGAATTTAGTTTCCACTAATGTCCAGAGGGCAACGTGTCAATGCCCAGGAGTGCAGCTCTTTTTCAAGCTATGTGATCAAAATGCAAATGTAATTCTGTGTTTGTCACATCACACATTCAAATATAATGACTTCCAGTGATTCGACTATTTTTTGATACTTTAAAGGATTTACTTTTATGTTGTGCGCAAAGAGCTAAAAAAAAAAAAGACAACGTTGTAAACAACTTGTAAAAATGTGTAGCTGCACTCTCATTCAACATCGGGGTGCTGAAGTTTTGGCCTTTTTGCAGCTGAAACCATAGTGATCATCAGCAGGCAACAGAGAGCAGAGGGCCCTCCAGCAGACATCACTGGCTGGTACCAGACAGGAAGAGAAAACTGTAAACTCACTACCTACACACGGCATTTACTACAACACTAAAGCACAACATCTCTGAGCTTAACCTTAAGTCGATGGCACAGCTTTTATTTTTGTTATTCCTGTCAGGGGATGGGATTCGGATGCCAGTGTAGTTTATAGTCTTCGTGATGTAAAAATAACTCCGGCCAATCAGCGGTAACAGCTGCGATGTACTGTACGGAGCCGGCCAAGCACAGATTGCTCTATAACTCAAGTAAGTGCTTGTGTTTGGAAATGTTGCATGACAATCTGTTCCAACATCAAGGAGGATGTACATGAACAGCACTGTCCACTGTGTTTCATTGCGCTGCCACAGAAATAGACTCGTGATGTAAATAACTGACTAACAAGGCGTTCTTGCGGTTGAATATTGTCCAAACAGAAGTCCGTACAGCATTAAAAGAATGAGGCATTACTGTGAGACCCTTGGCTTGGTTTTGGCAGTGCTTGGCCCCATCAGTCCACTCCGCAATGTTCATAGCATGCGATGATTTGCTCTTTTAAGGGCAGTTATTATTCTAATGGTGCCAGTGTGCCAGTGCCACAGAGAAAGACTAATGTTTGCTGGGCACATGCCAGGAATGAGGGGTCGGGGTCTGCAACTAGAGAGCCAGTAAAGCTGTGCAAGTATGTGGAGCCTTCTCATTTGTAGTTAAAGATAGAGGCAGCACAGGCTGTATCCTGGCCGACAAGTTTCTAATTTCAGATATCCCCGCTCGTCCATTTGGGCTGCTTTTGTCGCAGCGTGTCCTTGTTAGAGAGGAGTTTGCGTTGCCAACAATTGTTTCCAGAAGGAGGACTTGGCTTTTGTAGTAACTGGGAAAGGAATAGGACAATGGTGCTTTATGAGAGGTATGTTGATCATCTTTGCCTCCCCCTCACCATCGCACACTTTGTGTTGGCTGTGCTGCTTTAATATCTGCTCCTGCAATAGATTGTATCAATCTCAGTTATTTCCGAGACTGAAAACAGACCACGGAAGGTCACGTAACTGGCACTGTGGATGTGTTTTGCTTGTGATGTGGGAAAGGATACCAATGTTAATATACAAAAAATAGTGTATGTTTGTGAACTTCTTACATTCACTCACTGTGTAAGAGATGAATGGGCTCGCATATCCATTACTTTCAAGATGATAAGATGTTATTTACTGTTGTCATTGCCTTGTTTTAACTGATGAAACATTCAGTTATTATTTGTGTTAATACACTGTTGTCATTTATGACCCTAAAACGCAGGCGTTTTTAATTCTTATGTGGAGGATCTGCTCTGGCTTGTATTATATATATTATACATATATTTTCTATAGCTTGCACTGCTATCTTTTGAAGTGATTTCCTGAAATACCTGCACTTCCAGGTTAATCTATTAGTTTAATCGTTACCCTCTTAATCTGGATTTTAAGGATTCCTCGAGCTCCATAATTGATAATGGGAAAACAAAAGTATGCTGTTGCTTGCTTTTTTTTTTAAACACAAGGTGAACTCTAATTTCCACGCCATGGAAATTGCAGCATGATATTTCAATTAATGTCGGAAGTAATTTGAAATACCGCGCCTGAGTGACTGTCTTTGCAGAAAGTGTTTTCGAGCCACTCGGCCAAGAAGTGCCACTGTGTTCTCAACTGAGCATTATCTCATAAAAGATATTTACGACTGAAAAAGTTTTCTCTGCAAACTTTGCTTGTCTGCAGTGGGAGGTGTAGTGTGTTTGGTGGCGGGGGGGTGCTTGTACTCTGCTAGTACTATGTTTTTATGAACAGAGTGGCTGGGATCTTTGCTGCTATGGCAACAAACCACATGACTACGTGTATTAGATTGCCTCAGACAGTGTGCAGCGAGGCATGGTGTGAGCCTCCTCTCTGCTGCTCTGCCCCTCTGAAAGTCTTGTCCTTGTCTTGCTTAGGTTTTTCTTTGCCCCCCCCCCCC